GGTTTGAGTTTCTTGTTGCCTCCTAAATTATTGAAGTTAACCGTGGATAAGAGGACTAAATCTCCAATCTTGAAGTTGGGTTCTTTGTGACTTTTATCCCACCTGGCTTTACTATACTCTGCTGCTTGTTGGACACATTCAGCGGCATGTGCATTGGCGGCATCCAGCATTTTCTTAAAATCCAGGGCTGTGGGATGCACATGAGGGAGTTGTGCGTTAAGAGTGTCTTTAGGCATTCTGGGTATCCACCCTCTTTCTAAGACATATGGTACTTCCTTGGCAGAAGAGTGCTTGCTGCTGTTATAGGCTATTTCCAGAGCTGGAAGTAGGCTGACCCAGTCGTGCGTATACCCATCAGCATTCTTGTAATCTAACCCAAAAGCACAAAATCTCCGAAGCATATCTTCTAGGGTTTGGATCATTCTTTCTGCCAATCCATCAGTCTGCGGGTGATAAGCAGTTGAAAAGGCTAGCTTGGTACCTAGCATGTCATGTAAATTCCTCCAAAACTCAGAGGTAAACTTAGGGTCTCTGTCACTAATTATGATTTTGGGAATCCCCACATCTGCCATAATACGGTTCCAGAATAGCAGGGCTACCTCCATTGCAGTATCATCTTTGTGATTAGGGATAAATCTAGCTCTCTTGGAAAATCTGTCCACTACCACTAGTACTGAGTTATATGAATAAGCTCCTCCAGGGGGTAGTCCTGTCACAAAGTCCATGTTGATGACTTCCCACCGGGACTTGGGTTCAGCTATCCTTTGAAGGAGCCCAAATCTCTTCCCTGTCTGTTTATTGCCTGCTTGGCAGGGGTTGCAGGATGACACATATTCATGCACTTGGTCTTTATAATCCTTCCACCAGGCAGTCTGACTAATCCTTTCAATAGTCCTCTCTTCTGAAAAATGTCCTGCACAGACACTGTCATGACACTCCTGCAAGATAGAGCTGATTTGGGCTTCATCACACAGTACCAATACACTAGAGTGAGTATTTCTATAATATAATAACCCATCTAACAATGTAAATTTACCTTCGTGGTATGGTTTGGATAACCAAAGGGGTAAACTGGCTATGAGTTCATGAGGAGCATTTTTATTGGAAAGGATGTCTACTAGCTTCAAGAGTTCAGGTACGCTAGCATAACTATCTCTAACTGCTGAGTAGAAGGCTTCGTCTAGGTCACAGGCATGAATGCCAAGAATAGGAAAATCACTGATTTCCTCTGGATCCCATGCAGGCTCCTCTGGCGTGTTAGGTAAAGCCCACCTACTCAAGGCATCCGCATTCTGGTGCTTAGCTCCTGGTTTATGCCTAATGGTCATAAGGTTTCTGTACTGTTGGATAGCAATCTGCCACCTAAGCATGTGTCTATTAGGAGTCTTCATATTCATCAGGGTTGTAACTGCTGTACAATCAGTAATGACCAAAACTTTACATCCTTCCAAGTAGTAATGCAATTTCTCTAAAGCCCAAATCAGAGCTAAACATTCCATTTGGCTTGCACCGTATCTTTTCTCAGAATCCTTTACTTGCCTCGAGATGAACAATATAGGTTTCTCAATGGGAATACCTTGCTCCTCAAAAATCTGATGCAATGCAGCTCCTAATCCATCCATACAGGCGTCAATGTATAGAATAAAAGGTTTAGAGTAATCTGGTTGGGCTAACACTGGTGCGGAGGTAACAAGCTCTCTGAGTTTCTCGTAATCTTTAACTCTGTGGTAAGTCATTTCAAAGATAACTTTAGGAGTGCATATCTCATACAAACTTTTGGTGATGATGGCAAATTGAGGAATATGTTGTCTGTAATAATTACAGAATCCTAGGAATGATTGCATTTCTGTGACATTCTGAGGCATGGGTTTCTGCAACACTGCGGCTACTCTATTCTGGTCTATGGCTAGGGTCAGTCCAGAAACAATATGGCCAAGTGCTTTCAGTTCACTATATCCAAAGCTGCACTTCTTCATCGACATTTTTAGTCCAGCCTTAGAAGCAGTTTTAAGCACAGTAGCAATCTTTTCAATATGTATTTCCCAACTTTCAGAGTAGATAATGATATCATCAATGTATACCATCATCCAGTTTTGCCTAATGAAGGAACCAAAAATACTATCCATCATTCTTTGGAAGTGGGAAGGCGCATTCTTAATCCCAAATGGCATCCTAAGGTATTCATAAACACCTAAGTGACAAATAATCCTCATAAACTTCCTACTATTAGGTTCTATTGGTATTTGGTGGAACCCTTTAAGCACATCCATTGTCGTGATGTATTTAGCTTTGGAGAGATTATGCAAAGCATGGTCTATCCTGGGTATAGGATAATAATCTGCTTTAGTGTGGTTATTAAGAGCTCTGAAGTCCCCTACCATCCTAGACTTGTTATTATGCCAGGCTATAATGACAGGGGTCGTGATCTCCACTTGTTCATTATGGCCTACTTTTCGTAACACCTTTAAATCAAGAAGCTCTTTGATATGGGTTTCCAGTGCTTCCCTAGACTTGGGGCTGGAGGGATAGGGCGCTTTACGGAGCATTGGTGGATAGGGCGTCCCACATGTGAGTTCTATTTTTATGTCATGGCCCTGAACATTTCCAATGGGGTGTTCAGTAGTGCAGAAAGCCTCTTGGTAATTGTAGCAGACTTTCAACACATCTAGCTTTTGATCTTCAGTCAATTTATCACTCACAGAGGACTGCGACAGATACTCAGTGTTGAAAGTATTAAGTTCTTTGAAGTCTCTTATTTCCTCTGCAGATGGAGCATCAGGGAGGGAAATATGTACATTACAAATCTGATACTTCTTTTTCCAGTCACCACCTATAGTATAAAATCGGTTCTTACTCTGAAAGATATCAATACCATAAAGGCAAAAGGTATCGTTTCCCAATATTAAGTAGTCACATAAGGCGTCACTGAGTACCACAAATTCTATGGTGAGGCGCAAGGATCCTTTAGAATGAGGGAAGACAAGGGGCATGATCACTACTCCTAAAGTCTTCATAGCTGAATTGCAACTACTAAATTTGGCTCTTGGTATAGGAAGCAAATTATTCTTCCACGAGGGGTACACTTGGTCTAAGAATTTACTACTGGTACAGGAACAAAAGGCTCCAATATCTAGGAGTGCTTTCACTGGTTTGTCCTCAAATAATACCGTGGTGTAACAAGTTTTTCCGGTTGTAGCTCATGCCTGCTTCAGGTTTATTGGATAACATTTTAGCATCAGATACATGTCCTACTTCTAATGAAGAGTTCCAGGATTGAGGGAGATTGGATTCTCCTTGAATGGAATTAATGAGGCACTCATCACCAATATCTGCTTGGATGACATAACATCCTAAATGGTGGTTTTCTGTGTCCTTTTCTTCCAGAAAGTGATCATCAGGTTCAATACCAATAACTTCAAAGTGGGATTGATGGTCATCGTCTTCTTCAGCATAAATATGATTGATCTTCTTCCTAGGGTTGGGGCAGTCCGCTTTCCTGTGCCCTTTTTCTCCACAATTATAACATTCTGCTGTTACTGGTCTCTTAACAGGGTTGTCAACTCTGGCTGAAATATCTGAGGTTTTGCTAATTGTACCACTAGCCTTGTCATCTCTGGGATTAGTAGGGGGAACTCTGTTTTTTCTATTCAAGCCCATCATTTCGACAACTTCCTCCATGACTTCAATGAGTTCAGATATGTCTACATCCATATCTTTCAGTCTGCATCTAACGGCATGTTCCATACTACCTCTACATTGACTGAGAAGTTTGTCATTAACCAATATTCTAGTTTGATTTTTATAAATACAATCTATCCTCTTTTTCTGAGCAATGCACCAATCATGCGGATCATCCTTTGTGGGGTCAAAGTAATCTGACTCAAATAGTCTGCGCATCTTTTTCTCCCAGAGTCTAGTACCATACTTGGCTTTGATTAATTCCTTCCAAGTCTCCCAAGATTGCACTCCAAGAGATTCAGTTTTCTCAATAAACCATTGATTAGCACCTCCTTTAAATAATCCTGGAAGTCTAGAAGTAACTAACTCATCTGGGGCATTGTAAGTCCTCAGTATATGGTCTAAGTATTTGATAAAACTGATGTGATCATAATCTCCCTTCCCTTCAAAGGTGGGCCAATCTTTCAAGGGTGGTACCATTTTATTAAGAATGTTAATATCTAGGGTAGTATTGAGGACAGTGCGTGGTCTAACACTTGTTCCCTCATTGACTCCCCTAGAATTGTCAGGAATTTTAGTAATAGATTCTTCCTTATAATTATTAATTTGGTAATTACTTGGGAACCTGTCACTAGGTTCTCTGTTATTACCAGAAAACATTTGGTTATTGGGAAGAGGGTTTATATTCTGCAGTGGAGACCCTTTCTCTTCATTGGCAAATGGATTGTTAAAATGTGGGGTTCTGTACTGTTGCTCATTCTCAATGTTAAGATAAGGGTTGTTAAACTTGGGTGAAACATAATTTAACCTGGGTGAAGTTAAATTATTCATTTTCATGTCTCTTAATTCAGTCCTCACAGATTCTAGTTGAGTTACAAAAGAACTGTTAACACCTGTTATGGTATTATTGAGCATGTTGTTTTGCTGTATTAAAAGTTCTTTTATTTCATCAAATTGTTTCTTGTTTTTGAGTTGTTGTTCCATAATAACTTCTTCTTTCACAGTAGAGATTACATTATCCCCACTAGAAAGTGTAACATTCTCAATTTTATCTAGTCTTTCCTTGACTGTAATTATTTCTTTATAGTTGTCACTAATCATGCTGATAATAGCATCCAACTTATTATCCATCTCATCATTACTCTCCTTGACTGGAATTCTTTTCGATTGTAAGGACAATTTCAAAGCAGTCTCAATTGAATTTCTCAGGCTCTCATGGGAATTTTTAATTAGTTTAAGGAGTGACTTATGATTAAATTCAACGTTGTGGTTCAGAGTGTGGAGGTTCTCTTGTACATTAAGAGTAGCAGAAAAAATAGAGGCTAAGGAGGAAGTGCCTTGCGGGAGCGTTGTCTGTACGCTGCTCTCCAGGCCTGACCTATCTCGAAAACGTCCGCCCAGACCCGAGGGTCGTCGTATTGCTGGGCTTTCCTCGAAGTTGAGCTCTTCTTCTTGCCCTCTTTCTTCGGCGGTGGAGGGAATAATTCTCGTTTGGCGTCCCAGGGGTTCCATCCCTTGACGTATCCTTCGAGCTCTTCTTTGGTGATCAGCTTCTGTAGGGCCTTCTGAGAGTCTTGCGCTTGGTGCAAGATCGTTTTGAGTTCGGGGGTTGCTCCGGAGAGCTTCTCGAGCTCGAATTTCTTCCATATAGCTATATGCTCTTTGATTAGTAGGCGGATGCGCTCCTTCTTGGACAACGCCACTATGTCGGGGCTGTTGGGGCGTTTCGGGGTATCCTCCGAGAAGGTCGAGGGATCGTCTAGATCCATCGCTTCGTCTCTCGTCTTGTTCTGAGAGGCGTTGGTGATCTGAGAGTCGGTCGTCTCGGCCGTCTTCTTCTTGATCTGGAGCATGCTGAGCTGTCGGACTCCGTCTTCGAGAGGTAGCGGAGCTCCTGGGTCTTGTCGGAGCTGGGAGCGGTCCGGCAAGGTCGGGTCGCGAGGATCTGGTAGACATGAAGAAAGTGATCCGTGTTAGTAAGTGGTTTAAAACAAGGTGATATGGGGCTTACAATTCAATAACTCGTCGAGTTCGTCGACCAAGGTATCTTCAGGATTGCCTATGTGGTCGACGGCAGAGTGGTTGTTGGGGGCTCCTGCGGAGGTGTTAGGGTTAGTGCTCGCGGTAGTCGTCGATGCGGACACTGAAGGTTGTATCGCGTAACGAGGTAGTAAGTTATGTTATCCTGGTAGCAGGATAAGAGGATACGAGGGCTTACTTCTAAGCTTCTGTTCTCGTTTGTATTCCTTGTACTCGCGGAGAGTTTCGTTAATAAGTAATTGAGCAGCTAGAGTGTCGTCTTGTTCTCGGTGGATACGAGCGATGGCGATCTGTAGGCGTTCTTCTTGACTGAGTAGTTCCCAATCGGTAGGTTTATAGTTCCTAATGAATTCTTCTTTTCTGAGTTTTAAGAATCGGAGATAATATTGGATCAGTTCGGAGTTTTCTCGAAGATTCACTGATAAAAGGGGGTAGTGGAATGAGAACGATGGATAAGTATTAGATAAAAAATAAAAATTCTTTTCTTTTTGGGGTTTTGAATTTTATAATAGATTTTTTTTTTTTTTTTTTTTATTAAGGTTTTCTTTTATGTAGGTAGGTGAAAGAAAAGGGAATTAAGAGATTCGGTCGATTTGCTAGATAAGGGAGATATCGAGCGAAGAATGTATGACTTTCGAGATATAAGTCGAGGAGTCGATTTAACCGAGATATTTAAAGAATGTAAAATTTTTTCTTCAGATACGGTGGGTAATCGGTGAGGATTATTTCACGATCAATGCAGAGAGATCGTTGAGTTAAAGTGATAAGGTAAGGGTGACTTGAAGAAACGGATGAGGCTGGGTTCGTTCAATAGAAGGATTTCCCGGCCAGACCCCCAGTTGTCAGCCGCGGTGATGCCAAGACACTAAGTCTTCTAGCTACACCGGGTGATGGGGTGGTTTGGTAGTGAATAGATATAGAGAAAACCGAGGGGCCCAGGTTATGGGGGTTTTTACGGTGCCCTCGGGGATACGAGCCTAGTCTAATATGTCGACTGGTAGCGGCTACGGCGGGGTCTCGGCAAGAGGCGAGGGTATTCGGTCCGCGTATCGAGAAATAGAGAGGTTGTTTTTAGAGCCAAGGAACTGTACTTACTTGAGTAGGGGTCTCCTCAAGTACGAAGCTGTTCAAAGCTCAGGCGGCGGTGGGATCCAAGGGCGACGAAGTCCTGTTTAGCTCGGAGCTGAGAGTCTACGCGGGATCAGGGATATCGTCCGACTGGTTTGGAGTTCCTAGTTGAAGTTTTAAGAAGGAGATCGAAATGTTAGTGAGGCGGATTGAGGGTTTGTTTACGAGGTGGTTCTGAAAGGACGAAATGGATACTTGATGCCCCTTGATTACTGACCTGAGCTGGCTTTTATCCTCATCGGGTCCGGTACCAATAGCGTATGGGAAGTCGTTTCCTGTTTTGGTTCTGTCCAATCTGTTTCTTCGGTCATGAGGTCATGACTAGCCATGTCGACCGCGACCATTGTTCTGAAGTGAGTGACATCTTGAGAAACAGGGTGTCACAGATCCAGGAATAGCGCTGGAGATGACGCAGGTGTGTTAATGAAGTTTACTACTGCTGCGGGCTCTCTGACGCGCACTCTTAATGTTTTTGGCCCTTGATTTATTTATTCTATTACTCAATTATGGACTCTGTAAAGTATAATTAATTATTTTTAGAAAGTTAAAACTAAATTTCTAAAAATCTAGGCAGATTGTCCTGCTTTCTCAGTGACAAGCTGACAAAAGAATCAGCTAGTAGAAGCGTGAAATGGATGAGGAATAAGCTATATAGATTTATCTGAAGCTTACCCATCCTTGATCACATCATCAGGGCATCAGATTGCATCATAACCCTCTTGGATGGCGTCATCAGGACCCTTTTGTGCTCTAATTCAAAGCTTGCATAATTCAAAGCAGCCTACACGAGAAAGGAGCCCAAATTCTACATGCAAGACTGAATTATGCATGAAGGACATGCATTTCTCATGATCACAAGCTTGCATAAGCAGAGTTACACGTATGCAACCAACTCTACAATTGCACAGCCCCTGCACAGTAACTGTAGCCCTTTCAATTACGTGAGAGTTAGGCCACAAACTCAATTATGCATGTATGATCTCATGTCCTAGGACCTTCCACCCATGCATAGCACTGCACAGCTACAGCTCCCATCCTTAAACAAAATTTTAGAGCTGCTAAGAAGCTCCCTAGTGCCCTGAGGGCCTCTCCTCTTCCCCTGAGCCCCCTGTAGAATATTTAAGGAGCCCTGATTCCTACCTTTTCCCCCGAGGAAATTCTAGTAGCATCAAACCAACACTTGTACAGTGATTATTAGTGATTCAACCCACCAATAACATTACAATCCAGCTACCTTAGACCTAAATAGATTTACTTTGCTCAGATTCAAGGCATTTCTACTTATCTCTATTGCATAAAGAATTATCCCCCAGGTTAAACAATTCTGGTCCTTAAGTGTTGATACACTTATTAATCTAGATTGTTGTTAAAAGACTAATCCCAAGTGAGTTGAAGAAGTCCTCACCTTGGAAGCCTATTAATCCATACAAGAGGATTGATCCGGATGCCCAATTGAATAATTGGATGAGTCAGCAGTAGAAGTACCATTCCTCACTGACTCCTCCCTGTTTCTTTTACAGGTTGAGGGATTTAACCACGAATAAATCTTCTTCATTACTCTTCTTGTTAACACTCAGAGCACAACCCTTACAGGTTAGTAGCATAGAGGCTGACAACCATGTGGGCCAAAATGGGCCCAAAAGCGCCCCCAAGTCCTACTAAGCTCCCCTGAGCAACCCCTGAGGCCTTCCACAGGTATTTAAAGGGCCTTCTGACCGCACAAATAATGATCCCCCAGCTTTACAATACCATATAGAAACATACTTACCATTTACAAGTCCCCTACACTTGTAATTAGCCTAGTTATTACTATTTTTGCAGTTATTAAGCCTCAAGATTCCTCAAGAAACTCCCCAGTTATAACCCTGAACCCAAAATCAACCATTTTGAGCTCTCCCAACTGTCCAGTTTCTACTAAGAAGATCCTCAAGACCCCTTTGGATTATTACTAGTAAGTAATAACCCTTTCTTGAAGACTTTCCCCTAAAAATTATCTCCTGGGATTTAAACCACACCTGCTACAGGCCCCAGTGTATCAGGTACCTAAATCCTCTGCTTTTTGCACGATACCTTAGAGGGATTAAACCACCCCTGATTTATCAGGTGTCAGGCGCGGTGATGCCAAGACAGTAGGTCTTCTAGCTACACCGGCTGATAATTAGGCTGGTTTGGTATGGGATGAAGAAGAGATAATTGAATTGGAAAGGATGGGCCCAGGTTGCGGGGGTGTTTACGATGCCCTCCTGAGATCACTAGCTTTTAACACGCTCGTCACAGCGGTATTGGAAAAGGATGTGACTGGATAAAGATGCGGAAAAATACTTAAACTGGTAAACTGATGATTTCTACCTACCTTGTTTACTGGTTCTTTTTATACTGTAGGTACCAATACTGGATGCGGGAAAGGGAACTAGAGTTCACCGGTCATCTCTGAGAGTCTGGAATGATGTATAATTTTCCAGGAGATTTGACAGGGGAAATCTGCTCATCTCATGTCACAGTCTCCTGTCATGATTTCTTTTAATATGTCACTAGTTTCCATAAATGACATTTTATGTCATTCATTTTTTGTAATATTATTTGATTATTAAAGCTATTACTTAATATTTTTAGTTATTTATGGAAATATTACAGGTCAGCTTGACTCTGTAATAGTAGCAAGCTGACATCAGGCCCCTCTGGTTTTATTTATATTAATTTTATTAATATAAATTGGCCACTTTTTTGGATTTAATCCATAATTTTCACGTAATTCTTCTGAATTACTTATACCAGTTTTGTCCCTGAGTTTTTACCCTAAAAACTCTTATTTTTTGCACCTTGTGTAGCTAGAAGACACTTGTCTTGGCATCACATAGGCTGACAGGTTTCTAAAGGTGGATTTCCTATATTTGATACCCCCTAATGGGCTGGTTTGTAATCCAGCTCATTGGGAGGCAACCCTCCCAATGAGCTGGTTTGTAATCCTGCTCATTGGGAGGAAACCCTCCCAATGAGATGGTTTGTAATCCTGCTCATTGGGAGGAAACCCTCCCAATGAGATGGTTTGAGGAAACCCTTCCAATAGGGGGTATAAAATATAACCAAATCCACCATTATTTAATTGACTGGTTTGAAAAAATCCACCCTTTTTTAAACATGTCAGTCATTCCTTCAAACCCTTCTAAGACCCTTTGATGCAAAAAAAAATTTTCTGGAAAAGTGACTGGGCTCTAATGGTGTATTTGCTATATTTGATACACCGTAATGAGATGGTTTGAGGAAACCCTCCTAATGAGATGGTTTGAGGAAACCCTCCCAATGAGATGGTTTGAGGAAACCCTCCCAATGAGATGGTTTGAGGAAACCCTCCCAATGAGATGGTTTGAGGAAACCCTCCCAATGAGATGGTTTGAGGAAACCCTCCCAATGAGATGGTTTGAGGAAACCCTCCCAATGAGATGGTTTGAGGAAACCCTCCCAATGAGATGGTTTTGAATCCAGATCATCAGAAGGGTTTCCTCCCAATTAGCTGGTACACAATCCAGCTCAACGGGAGGGTTTCCTCCCGATGGTCTGGTATACGGTCCAGCTCATTGGGAGGGCTTCCTCCCGACAAGAACCTATGCCAATTCTCCAAGGATGGGAACGGGCGGTACCCGGGTACCGCCCCTTTTTTGCCAAAACACCGGCACCCGGCACCGCCTGGCGGGTGCAGGCGGTACCCCCCAAGCGGTACTAGGTACCTAGCAAAGAGTACCGACAAACGATCTCTACTGTGGCATGCTTTGTTGAGTGGGGCACAGGGATGAAGGCTAAAGTTCACAGACTGAAAGTCTTGTGACACTTGAGAGTGAGAAAGTTAATGTTCTGATTCACTAAGAGCAACCGCATCGGTGCAGGTGTAACTTCTGGAGTAGCGGAGTAGCTTAATCCTGGATTAGTGCTACTCCGGGTAGGCAAACACATTGGTGCGGTGTAAACCTGGAAGTAGCCGGGGTCATGCACATGTTGAGTGTGCCAATTGTCTCTTGATCCCTGGATTAGCAAGGAGTAACTTTACTCCTGCTTAGCTCAAATCCTACTCTGGGATTAGTTTAGTCTGAGCAACTCAAACCCGATGTGGTTGAGGGCTTGGACTAGCTCGGAGTAGTTACACTAATCCGGCCTTAATACAGCAACCAATGCGGTTGCTCTGAGGAAAAAGGGAAACACCTAGAACAACTTATTATTGAATATATACAAGTTGCCAGTGTTATGGATTGAAGCATACTGTATATTGAATGTAAGCATATTCCAACATGTTTCAACAAATTACTGCAAGACAAATTGGAATTCGGCCCATTGATTTTTGTGTTGCATCTGATTTGAGAATCAATATGAGTAAAAGAAAGATCTATTGGATGAGAATGCTTGAAAGTGAGTATCAGGAAGGCTCAAATCTTGCATGGATAGGCAATCATGTGCTGTCCTTTTTTTCAAGTTGTGTTGAGAGTTTTGATGTGTTATAATTGGCATAGGCTGCACAGACTGCATTAGAGGCGGTTTTCTGTGCTCGAACTGTCACAAATTTTTTCAGATTTCAATTGATGAAAGTCAGATGAAAGATTTGGAAGAAAACTTATGAAGCTCATCTTGATTGGTTGGGTCCAGACTATTATTAGGCTGTCTGGTCTGAGAGGCTCTTGACTGAAGGCCAGAGGTGGTGTTGGAGCCATTGTTGTAAACAATATTAGAATCTGCCGCTTCGGATTGTGTTGATTGGGGCCTAGTATCTGATCTTCCCAATTGTGCCGCCAAGGGTGATGGGGAACATTGGTGGGGTCTCTTTTTTGTCCTACTCATGATGGTATGTGGATGTTGAATAAAGACTTTTGCCTCTCCTTGGGCTCCCCAGGACTGTAGGACTGAGTGAGGCTGAAAAGAAGCAGGTAACTTAATGGGACACGGGTACCTGCCCATTTTTGACCCAAAACCCCATTACATGACCCGCACCCGGCACCTGTATGGCAGTACCAAACAGCTACAGCAGGTACCTGCCCACGGGTGCTGGGTACCGCAAGATGGGTACCTATTGATTCATAAATTGTTATATTTTGGAATTTTAAAGCAATAAGAATTGCCAAGAAGCAGCTGGCAAGCACTTGAGCTGATTGGCTACTTGTCAGATGTGGTAGTCTTGCAGAAACTGCTTTATAAGTAATTTTAGTGAGGGATGAAAGGGGAATTTCCAATTTACACACTAAAAATTGCAGTAGTAAAAGGTTGATTGGGATTGGGATGACTACTCTAAAAGTAGGAGGAGAATATTCACTGAGATTACTAAGTTTGTTGTGGTTGAATATGCTGA